GGGTGCCTGTAGTCCTAGCTATTCAGGAGGCTCAGACAAGAGGATCATTTGAACATAAGAGTTTGAGGTTGCTGTGTGCTATGATACCATGGCACTCTAACCAAAGTGACAGAGTGAGACTGTCTAAAAAAAAAAGTTAACATTTTTTAACATATAAACATAAATAAAAAAGTAAAAACATTCATAAAGATATGGAACTAGTGCTACCCATGTATAATGCACATCCTTATTTTTCCCTAAAAATTTGAGCAAAAACGTGCACATTATACATGGCAAAATACAGTAATTCCCATCCCTCTTATAAAGTCCCATCCTCAAAAGGTGTGTCACACACCATGACCCTCCACCTCTCCCTCCTTCCCTCTCTCTCTTCTCCCTTTTGCCCACCTTCCTCTCTCCTTTCCTGTCTCTGCTTTCCCCTTCCCCACTTCCCATGTACTAGGAATGGATTAATAAGCTGTGGTATATGTATACGTGGAATACTATTCAGCCATTAAAAATGATAGAGACTTTACATCTTTTGTATTAACCTGGATGGAAGTGAAACACATTATTCTTAATAAAACATCACAAGAATGGAGAAGCAAGAATTCCATGTCCTCAGTTCTGATATGAGGACAATTAATGACCTAACAACTTCTTTTTGAAATGAGAGAGCAAGGGACAACCCAGCAGCTGCTGGAGCCTGTTTCAGCTCTGTCTCCTTGAAGCAGACGCAGCTCCTGGCAACTTAAACTGAATTGAGGAGAAAGAAATGGATTTGGAAAGTGTTCAGATGCCAAGCCTTTTGTTGAATAACTTCCCTAGCATGCATGCTGACACCCTGATTCTACCTGTATTGGGGATTTTCAGAACTTCCTCTTGGTTTGTTTTGAAATGTCTTTTGAGGGTGGGTGGATGTCATGAAGTTGAGTGAAAGTAGGGAACTTGGTTTAAATTTGGAGCTCATTTGTAGTTCCCAGGGAACAGGGGGACTAGACCACCAGGAGAAGGGTTTACTTTCCAGTAAGGGCATTTGGGGCACCATCTGAGGTGCTAGTTCATGTGGTGTTTGTCTCCTATGTTGTCTGTTGTTTGTGAATTTTGTTGGAATATAAGAAAGCTCTATCTTAAAGTCCCTTGGAGAAAAACTTTGGAAAGAGCCACAGCATTTTAGATTGTTTGTATTGGGAATTCCTTGTATTATTTTTGATTGTTTGCAAATTTTTTTAGCACTTGTTTGGTGAGTTTTTGTATTGTGATACTACTTGTACTTAGTGTAAGAAAAGTGGTTGGTACCATTTGTACGGAGTGTAAGGAAAAGTGCGTTGCTTTGCCTAATTTTGATTTGGAGGTGCATTCTATGTTGACTGGCCATTGGTTGGTATTCTTTTGGAAAGCTTATGTTCATGTATTTTGCCCACTTTTTTTTTTGTGGGGTTGTTAGATTTTTTTCTTATGAGTTCTTTGTGGATTCAGTCCTTTGTTGGATATATGTGTGGCATGGGGGATATAATCCCCCATAATATGGGTTGTCTGTTCACTCTGTTGATTGTTTCCTTGGATGTCTAGAAGCTTTTAGGTTTGACCGGGTCTCATTTGTTAATTTTCATTGTTGCTGTGATAGACTTTGGGGTCTTCTTTGTGCATTGTTTGCCTAAGCTGATGTCTGTGGAAGTTTTTCCAGCATTTTCTTCTAGAATTCTTTTTATGGTTTTATTTCTTGGGTTTGAGTCTGTTGTCCATCTTGAATTAATTGGTTTTTTTTTTTTTTTTTTTGTGGAATAGTGTTTCACAACTCTATTGTCGCCCTTGATAGAGTGCTGTGGCGTCACAGCTCACAGCAACCTCAAACTCTTGGGCTTAAGTAATTCTCTTGTCTCAGCCTCCCAACTAGCTGGGACTACAGGCACCTGCCACAACGCCAGCTATTTTTTGGTTGTAGTTGTTATGGTTGTTTGGCAGGTCTGGGCTGGATTCGAACCCACCAGCTCCAGGGTATGTGGCTGGAGCTCTAGCTTCTGAGCTACAGGCACTGAGCTCACCCAGCTATTTTTTGTTGCAGTTGTACTGTTGATTAGTAGGCCTGGGCCAGGTTTGAACCTGCAAGCCCTGGCATGTGTGGCTGGTGCTATAACAACTGTGCTACGGGTGCCAAGCCCACTAGAAGATTTTTTACAGCAGCTTAGCATTGATTTGTCTGGCAGTTCTAATTCTTCCTGCTTGAGCCTGGGGAGGTTGTTTGTTTCTGCAAATTCACCAATCTCTTCAAGGTTTTCCAGCATAGAGGTTTTTGTGGTATTCAGGGATGTAGTTTATGTTTCTGTGATATCAGTTGTAAGGTCTCCTTTTTCATTTCTGATTGAGCTTACTGGAGTCTTTTTCTGTTTTTGGTTGATCTGGCAAGAAGTATGTCAATTTTGTTCATCTTTTCAGGGAACCAATTTTTTGTTTTATTGATTTTCTGTATTATTCTTTCGTTATCTATTTCTGTTAGTTCTGGTCTGACATTGGTTGTTTCTCTACTTCTGCTGGGTTTGGGATTGGTTTGCTCTTTTTGAATTCTCTGAGATAATTCATTGGATTGTTGCTTTGTAATTTTTACTAAAGGGTCTTCTCTATTGCTTCTTTCTCCCCAAAATTAATCTCAGTTGGCCTTTCTGTGCCTTTGTGAAAGGGGAAATTAACTGTCTTATTTGTAGGTAAATGAGTTTTCAAAAATAATGAGAAATAAATCTTTTAACAATAAGGAAAACAACTCCTTTTGAGCACCCTAGTTGGTTTATGGTGCCTCTGTGTAAGGCTCAAGGGCATACCAGGTTTTCTAGGATGTGCCAATTCTTGTGCACCTTTTTTTTTTTTTTTTACTAAGGGGCAAATTATATCAGGAAAAAGTCAAAGCCCATTTCAGAGTTGTAATGCTGACTCTCAAACTTTCTGCTTGATATAAACCCAATGTTTATGGTATTGCTTGAGACAAACTTGTTTTTGGTATATGAAATGATCTTTGCATGTAAGATTTTTGATAAAAGAGGTCCTCCTGCCCTTGCTGGGACTTCACAGCTAGCTGGGTGAGATGCGGGGAGGAGCTACAGCTCAAGAGCAGACCTGACGAGAGGGAGAACGGGCACCCATGGCCTGCCACTGAGTGGCACACAGCAAGGGGGATGGAACGCCTGTTGCTGCTGCTGTCATCGTGACACCATGGGAGGGTACTGCCTGAACTAATTCTTCATCCCATGCCCATTAAGTTTATGCTTGGGGTCAGAAATGGTTTCTCCTTACCCAACTGGGAGCTCAGTTTGGCCAGTGGGTACCCTGCTAGGGCAAGGCAGTTAGCATTGAATCCTTCACAGGTGGTTAATATGGCCTTTAGCATAAACTAGAACCTGTGTATGTTTTAGCTATACCAGCTAAGGATCCTTTGAGACAGTTAAAAGGAATAACCACCCTAGGATAGGGTATAATCAGTATGTATATTGGAAAAATAAAAAGGCATTGGAAAGAATCCTGCCTCAAAATTACAAAGGACGCCAGGTAACAGGAAACCCTCAGGAAAGCAAATGGTTCTTTCCGGCCCAGCCCCTTGCCTCACTAGTAGCACCAACCCATGCATTAAAGCATTTGATAGACCCTCATTTGGTATGCCCTTGTTTGTAATAAACTGTATGTTCAAAACAATCTAAAAACAGAATTGACCCACTGCAGAGGGAGCCTGATATAAGGGGCCCGACCCCTTTGATGATTGGCAGTTTCACTTGGTGTTAGTATATATCCTTTCAGGCCAGGTAGAGGCTTGTTCTAGCCAAATGGAGAGAGCATCTAAAGTTCCAAGATGGGCTCCTACCAGGAGATGCTGATTGGGCACAGGGGCTTTGCTGAGAGTTCTTTCACATGTACACCAACACAGAGCAGGAACAAGCCTCAGAGGACAGTGCGATGGCACCAGCTGTCCAGGAAAAGAAGCCAAGCACGTGAAGAATGGCATGCTGGTGATGGATGTTATAGGCAGGCAGCTGTCCAGGCTAGTCTTGAACTCCTGATCTCAAGTAATCCTCCCACCTTGGCCTCCCAAAATTTTGGGTTTATAGGCGTGAGCCATTGTGTTCACTATAGAATATTTTTATTCTGAAAAAAATCTTATCTGGAAGGGAGAACTCAGGAGAGAGATACTGAAATGCTACAACCATGTAAAACTTTTAATTTTTTCTTCTTATGTTCTCAGTTCAACTACCTTTATATGAAGCAATGTGTAGAAAGTAGTCCAATAGTACCTATTCAGCAGGAATGGGTGGATCACATGTTAATGCTGATACCTGAGTCTTTAAAAATAGGGAAAGAAAGAGAAGAACTCATTGATAGTCTCATAAAAGAAGTGTCAAATGACTTTGAAAACAGTATGAAGAGATATTTGGGTAAGTAGCTTTAATGTGTGCCCTCCTTCTTTTACCTTTGCTTTCCTCTCCTCAACTGAATCAAAAGTATAAAGTAAAAGGATAAAGTATAAGTGAAATGAATAATGAACACTATATATTTAAACTACATATTTATTATTTATTTAAAGATCTTATTTTAAGCCTATAATCTAGTCAAAGTCTTTGTAACTTCAGGGTACTTTTGGGGTTTTGTTTGTTTATTAGCTAATAAATTTTTTATTTTTATTTTTAGTTTGAGACAGGATCTCTCTCACTCTGGTTTAGGTCTTGCCCCGGCTAGAATGCCATGGTGTTATCATAGCTCACTGCAACTTCATACTCCTGTGCTGAAGTCATTCTCCTGCCTCTGGAGTTTGAGACTGGCCTGCACAATATAGTAAAAACTTCATCTCTACAAGAAATAAGAAAAAATTAGCTGGGGGTGGGTGGTGGGCTCCTGTAATTTCAAATTCTTGGCAGGCTAAGGGAGGAGGATCACTTAAGCACAGGAGTTTGAAGTTACAGTAAGCTGTAGTCTCACCAGCCTACTCTAGCCTTGCTGACAGAGTCAGAACCTATCTCTAAAACAAAACAAAATTAGAAACTTTGATATGTATAGGTCTTACAAAGATTTTCAAGAAGTATTAATACATATATTTTAGTGCAGAGTGTTCTTGTGAAACCACCAGTTAAATGGCTTCCAGATGAAGGAGGACCTTTACCTGAATCCCCTGTGTGAGTAAATTATTTTAAAAATAGTACTTTATCTATTTTTTGATACAGATTAAAAATAAATAAATCTTACATTCAAATCTGCAATTGTGAAGCACAAAAGTATTTTGAACACATCTAAAAAATGGTACTATTGCTTTTTTTCCCTAAAGATATCCTCACTATGCTTGTTTAGTTCTGTGTACATAACTGAGGGGTCATTTATGAATGTATAGATCTATTTGGCCTTGAGTAATCTTTGGTGTGTGCCAGCAAGGATTCTCCATTCTTATTCCCAGACCTAAATACTGTGTTCTTTCATCTTTACCTGGGGTAGGTGAATCAGAGTGCAATGCAATTTAGCAGGACATTCAGGCCTGCCCCATCAGTCTGCCTTACGCACAAATTATTTCTGTTCTCTCTGAATATAATACACTTTTGAAATCTTAATGTGTTTTTATTAAGTGCATATATCCCAAGGCTTCTATTGCTGATTATTGTTCTCTCTTCTCAATCTCCAGTTTTCTCACTTTAATATTCATTTCATGTCATGAACATGATTTCCTGAAATTGACAGTGTCATCATGTTTGATATGGTATTTTGCTTTTCCAGAGGCCAAGATTTTTCTAATCCCTGGCATTCTAGCTATGTGCAGGCAAGAAATCAAATATTATCTAATTTGTACATTGTTCATTCAACTATGCAAACGTTACTGGACCTTGGTTATACAACATTTTCTAATATAGTTTTACTGGACTTAAAAGGAATTAGGTAAACTCCTATATTTTAAAATTAATATTTAAAATTTGAATGTCTCATTGAGTATATTTTTGACTGTTACTTTTTTTTTAACTGATTCATTCATAAGTCTTCAAAACTTTTCTTTAGATTTTTAGAATTTTAAAAAAATTATCTTGTTTCAACAATTGTGTATCAACACCAATATCAGTCATTTACTTCAAATTATTTTTCTTTTTCTCATAAATAGAGCTAAAGGCCCAATTGATTGTGAATCACTGAAAACTGATCTATCAATACAAGCTAGAAAGGCAGAAGAGAAGATAATGAATACATGGTATCCAAAGGTTATAAATCTCTTTACTAAGAAGGAGGCCTTAGAAGGCATAAAACCTGAAAAATTGGATGCATTTTATAACTGTGTTTCCACACTTATGTCAAATCAGGTAATGTGTTTTTAGAATTAGTTCAGTATTTTAAGTAAAATTTTATTTAAACATAGTACTAAGTATGATAGTGTTTTGAAATGAATTAAGAAAAATATCTCTTATAATTTTATTTAAATACGTTTAGCAGGAAAATCCTGATTTTCTTAAACAATCTGAAATGGGAGGAATGTATCAAAGTCTGTGTCAGTGTTAGGACTGATTACTGGCTCATGTCTAAAGGCTATTAGCTAATTTGGCTTTTTTGGAGTATGTTAACAATTGAACTATCCTAATAACATATTTTTAAACTTACTAGATTCTAAGTTGATTAATCCTCATTTTGTTTTCTATAAAATCTTCATTTAAGATGTTATTGATCATCTTTTTTTTTTTTTTTGCAGTTTTTGGCCGGGGCCGGGTTTGAACCCACCACCTCTGGTATATGGGGCCAGCGCCCTATTCCTTGAGCCATAGGCGCTGCCCTGTTATTGATCATATTTAAATGACAAATAGAAAGAAAATATTAATTTTATGCAATAATGTTTATGGTTTCAAATTTTTATAATTGTAGACATACAATTCTAGAAAAAATAATTTTGAATAAAAACTTTTCCTTTTGATAAAGATCTCTAATAATTCCATGAATTTTGCCTTGCATGTTTAAAAGGATAATATGCATATTTAATGTCTACTATGTAAAACTATAACTAATATACATAGTTTCCTTTCTACTTTTAACCTCTTAAGAGAACTATGATTATTTGATAAAAGTAAAAAGATAAGTAACATCTTCAAGAAAATAGATTCTGGTTTGTGGGTTGGGATAAATATCTAACAATTGATTCTCAATATGTAAGAAAGCATTATTTATACTTTAGAAACTCATTGTGCATATTTCTAAGTGGCTTAACCTGAATTTGTACATGTTGGAAATATGGTTCTCCAGAGGGAAAAAAGCCACACTGATTTGTGGTATTTGCCAGTTTCTGTGGTGTAAATATTCCCACCAAAGTGGATTTAACATTTTAAGTGTTTAGCAACTGGTTCATAAAGTTCTTGAATGTTTAACAATTGGCTTCTGAGATAATAAGAGCTGGCTGTAGCATGCCACTATGTGTTACCTCATTGCAACCTACCTTCAGCCATCAGGTATACCCTACCCTTCTTACCACATTGTTTAGTCTTTTAGAACATTTTCTGTACCAGGTATAGAATCACCAAAGCGTGGGAAAAATTCTGAGTTGCCATTTTAAGATTGTTGATATTCTATTAAAAATTAAGGTTTGCATGTATTGTTCTATTTATTGTGTTAGACTACACTTATGAATGAAGAAAAATTCCAGGATTAAATACATTGATAGAATGACTTGATTAGTTCGTTATAACCAGCTATAGACAATTATAATCAGTTCACTGATTTTAATTAAGGGTTGAATTTATACTTTTTAAAGTGATGGTAATTTATGATATGCAGCTAAAGGATCTCTTAAGGAGAACTGTAGAAGGATTTGTAAAACTCTTTGATCCACAAGATCAACAGAGGCTGCCAATATTTAAGATGGAATTGACATTTGATGATGATAAAATGGAATTTTATCCTACCATACAAGATTTGGAAGATGTTGTTTCGAGTGTGGTAGAGCGAATAGCTGAAGCTCTGCAGGTATTATTACATCATCCCTATCCATTGAATTTCTTTATATGGCTTTTTCATACTTTAAAATTATTTGAGTTTAGTCTTTTTAAAATGTATATATATATAAAATGTTACAACTCTTTTTTAATTTTCCTCCCTCAAGTTATTTTAAATTAGAAAGTGTTTCCTCTAGGCTTTCTAACTTTTAAGAAATAGGGGAAAAAGGTGTTTTCTCTTTGAAAAATCTCCTAGAGATGACAATTTCCCCTTAGAACTTATTGTAGTTATAGATTAATATTTTTGCATATGTCTAATCTCCCTCACTGAGTGGGCTTCTTTTTTTTTTTTTTTTTTTTTTTTGAGACAGAGTCTGATACAGTCATCCTGGGGTTGAATGTGCTGGTCTCATAGCTCACAGCAACCTCAAACTCT